CACCAGCTCCTTGATCGGGTCGGTGGAAGACGTAAAATAGGGGCTGGCGACGTGACAGATATAGTCGACTCCTTCAACCGCGCGGTCCAACGCGCCGGGGGCTTGGATGTCCGGCACTTCAACAAAGGTAAGGTCACCCGATTTGATGGCTTCGGGATATTTGTCTGCGATGAAGCGGGATTTGGAAAGGGAGCGCAAGGTGCCCCGGACACGATATTGGTGGCCGATGAGTGTGGAGAGGACATGAGCTCCCACGAACCCATTGGGTCCAGTCAAGAGAACAAGAGGTTTGAGGCCTGACATTTTCGTGCTATATGTTTTCAGGGTGTTCTAGATTTGTGAGGCTGTTTTGTTTGGGAAGGGATTGTTGATATCTCAAAGATGACAGGGCAAGGTCCTCCTCCTCTTTTTATACCTGGCAGGACAAGAGACGTTTCGGAAAACCTCCCACTACTCCATCTTTTGTATGATGAAGTAAGTGCAAGCCGAAGAAATGCCTTTCGGGTCGCAATTGATTGATACCAGATCTTTGACCTCAACGACCCTGGATGGGTGGTCTTTGTCTCCAGAATGCGGCCGCTTCAACCCCATTGTCGGCGGTGCAAAGCGGCGCGTCTGCCCTTCCGACTGGACTTCTTCGCCGTTGCCTAAATGACCTCGGCGGTTTGTTGCTGACCAAGCTGTCGTGTACCTGCAGTAGCACCGAGTAGCCAGGACTGTCTGACCTGTCAACGGAAGAACGTAACCGTGAGTGCCGGACAAGGGCAATGAAGATGATGTCATAGGGATTCGCCCTATTTTCCTGTCTATTCTCGTCACGTGTCGTCTCTCTCACATGCAACAATTGCTCCTTACTTTACATATCGCTCGGGTGCTGCACGGAACTAACGCCACAAAACGCCCTGTGTTCGGCGACGCGAGAGACTGCTTTTTACAAGGAGATTGCACCAGGTTATCTCCTTACCTCCTTTCGCCTGTACACTGTATGACTAACCCTGCATCAATTGTCAGGTCAACATCTATCACATCGGAAAAGGGCTCTTCCAGAACGGCTAAGACCGGTTCTCAACTCAGCCAAGCAACATCTCCAGCTCCTCGATCCGCCTCTTCTTCCTCTCCTCTTCATTTTCTCCTCCCCCTGATTGGCCCACACCCAGGCTTCCAGCGACCGCCATCTTCCTCTCTTGCACACGAAGCATTCTTCCTTCAATACTTTCCTTGGTCACAAACCTGATCACCTCCACTTTTTGTGTCTGACCCATGCGGTGCACCCGATCGATCGCCTGTGCTTCAACTGCAAAACTCCACCACGGGTCCATCATATAGCACCGACTCGCCGCCGTAAGATTTAAACCCACTCCACCAGCCCTGAGAGAGAGCAGCAAGATGCGAGGAGCTTTGGGGTCGGATGCATTTTCTGCGTTGAACGCTCGAATGACCTGTGCTCTTACCTTCTGTGACATGGTGCCATCGAATCGCAGGTGCGAGAAACCGTGTTTGGTAAGTTGTGGAGAAATAAGGTCGAGAAAGGACGTGAACTGCGAAAACACCACCGCTTTGGTAGCCCGGGGTAGCGCGGACAGGTGATGCAGCAGCGCCGCTATCTTCGCTGATGTTGAAGCAGATGGTGAATATGGATGTAATCGACGGAGTGAAATCTTGCCAGGTCTCGTCACATTCTCATCAGCTGCATACATGTCTCCTTCAGGATCAGAGGACACAGGCGGACTGTTGTGCCTAACAACTTCAAAGACATCTCTCGGATTGATAACTTCTCTGCATGAAAAGCAGCGAGGGACTTCTCCTTTGTCCGTCTGGACCGCGATCGACTTCTCCAAACACTCTTTGCAGGCACTGTGCCAGCAAGTAGTGACGGCAGGGTTAATCATTGGCTCTTCAAAGCACAAGGGACATTCTCCACTTGATTCCTCCTGAATTTGGCGCAAAGCATTGGTAGTGAACGTGGTGATTGGGTCCCTCGATGTGGGGTTTTCCTTCTCTGCAAGGTCGCTGTCTTTGGTAAAACGGTCTATGAGATCTTGCAAGTCCATGTCGTCGGCAAACCCGTTTTCATCAGCCGCAGCCGCAACTGCAGCGTCCTCTTCATCTGCCACAATATCCTTGTTCCGAGTCAGCACAGGATGACAGCAAGACTGCCGCAGGCGTAGGATCTGTGCAAAAATTGTCGTGTATGATTTTAAGAGAGTGCCGGCCGCGACGGACTCATTGAACGCGCGCTTGGCCCGCGTAAATATCAGATCATATACTTCCCGTTCTGTCTTCGAGAGTTCGACTTCTTCAACAATGACGGACTTAGGAGGAAGTGGCACAAGCGCTTCGCCTTCGGGGGTCTTCATATCCTTTGTTCTTCTCAGCACCAGGGGCTCCAAGACAGTCTGAACGACATTGAGAGCTCGTGCAATCTCCTTGGACTCAAAGGGCACTGTGATGAATGTCTTCCAAAAGGAGAAGTTGCTCCAAGGTTCAACTTTGAGGAATCTAACCAAGCTGAACAAGTCTTCCAGGCGATTGACGATGGGTGTCCCAGTCAAAACCCATCGATGCTTCGCCTTGATCTCATAACACGCCTTGGACGTTTTGGCCTGCCTATTCTTGATCGTGTGGGCCTCGTCAAGAATAACCCGATGAAAGTCCACGGAGAAGAGGCCACCATGAGACGCGCGATCTCCTCCAGCAGTTGAAACTTGTCCAAACTCTGAGAGTACGGTGCCGTAACTCGTTATAATGACATTTGGAGCAGACGCACCATTTGTGGCACAGCACAGGGTCTGTAAATTGACCGACTTCTCGCTGCCATAGTAGACCATAGTCCTTAGAGAGCCAGGTTTCGAACATTTGACAGCTTCACTCTCCCACTGTGCCAGTAAGGACATAGGTGCCACGACCAACGTCGTGAAGGGTGCCACTTCGACTGATGTAGATGTTTGAGGCAGCCTGGGAAGATGGTTGACGGATGTCATGGCCTGACCAGCAGCTTCCAGGTCAATTCGTGAACGATTGGAATGGATCAGGCTGTAGATCTCGATTGTCTTGCCCAGGCCCATTTCGTCGGCTAAAATGCCGCCCAAACAGTTTTGTTCCTGGACGGGGAAGTCAAGACTGATTTCCCCGGAGTAGAGATTGACATAAAACTTGTCTTGTCCTTCGACAACGGGAAGTAGTTCATCGTTTGCGTCCTTGGTGGGCCAAGTATACTCTTCCCAAAGCGGGTGCATTGATTGTTGCTTGTCGGATTTTTCGTCTCGCTCTTTGCTAAGCATCCAATGCAAGGCCTGTTTCTGATATTTCCGTAGGTCTAATTGGAAAGTTGGTGCCGGTTCAGCTTCTGGGGTGTTGAAGTCAAACGACTGTGCTTTCCGGTAGAGGGTATCGAGTTGATCTTCCTCCAACTCTTCACCCTCCTCGTCCTCAGAGATGGGAGTGGACATGCCTGACTTGCTCTTCGCTTCTTTGTCTTTGTCGTACTGCTCTGCCATTTCAGCAGCTCTGAGTAGACCTTGCTTCTTGTGCTTGGAAGTTGTCTCGCTGCTTGTAGTTGGATCGAGGTTGACTTCTTCAAAGAGTTTGACCAGAGCCACTTGCCGTAATCGAAGGTCTTTTTCGTCGCTGCTCTCCTTCTCTTCGAAAAAACCCGTGGCGCGGTTGTCATCCTTTGGCTTGACAAAGGTATTTGCCTCAAAAGCTGTTTTGAGGAGGTATGCACGAAGCTGCAGGTAGATTGTATCGTTGACTCGAACACGATCAGGCGCGAAAACGCAGGTTCCCTCGAAGCGGCAAATCTTCTGGTCCAGCAAAGTCGATACCCAAGAAGCCGTCTCCTCGGGCAGACGACCCAGCTCTTCACCTTTTACATTTGTAAACCGAGTGATCACGTCTGACTTTTGATTCCGGCCTATCACCGCCACCAATTTCCCACCTCTTCCAATTTTTGTCTTAGGAGCGATCTTTGACCTCTCTATCCTCACCGATTCACCGTGTGCCAACAGGTGTGTGCCGCTTTTTGTCATCCATGCTCCCACACCAAATGACCCAACATACCGTTCAGTGGGCATCGTGGCGAGGGATGCTGTCTTGGAGGTGACGTCTTTCCATGTGGCCTGTGGTAGTGCGGTGGGAAGGCTGTTGGAGGAAGTAGGTGCACTCAGCCAAGAATCTACACTCCTCGAAGGAAGTGATGTCCTTGTCTGTACCGCGGTAGCATTTTTCCATGACCCGTCCAAGTACATATTGATTGCTCGCTCGAGATTGCCATTAGACGCAGCCTCAACCTTGTCCACGACATCCTGAGAAACATCTTCTCCGACAAACGCGCGGAATACGTCGATGTCAAAGGCATGAGGCTTCTCGTTGTCGAGAGCGCTTTGGACGTCCGTGGGGTTCGTTTGACAGGACTCGAAGTCGTGACCGGTAGATGAGGTGGCGGATGTTGGTCTGCTAGACGCATTTACGGATGAGGAAGCATGTTCAGGGAGAGCCTCAGGATCATCGACGAAAAAGCGTCTCTTCTTTCGCGGGCGTACATCAATGTCCATGGGAGCGTCCAGTTTTCCAATATCAGTGGCGGAGGGAAAAGATCCTGTTCAACGTGGAAACGAAACGCGTTAATTGATTTGACGCGCCCGCACGTGATGCGAATCCAGGTTTCACGTCATGATGAGCCAATTTATTGTTTCTCCACAAGCTCTAAGAGCGTTTCGTCCAGTCAGTACAATCATAAATCACATTAGCCCTTGTTTTTTCACACCGACAGCCTTTGGGCATGGGACTCAGAATGTGTGTCCCTTAAATTTCTTGGTTGGCGAAATGGCCACAACCCTGAGCTGAGGAGTCAACACCAGGAGTCGGGCAGTGGGAGCAAGTACACAGAAAACTTCAACATGGCTCTTGCTGGAAAGCATGGCCGAGCCTTGTTGTCAGTGCGACAGCTAGGTTGTGGGGGATCTAGTCCGAGATACCGCACGTTTACGGCAAGTACGAGGATGTCGCTTTCGCTCGATCCAGATTCGCCGGATGTGAAAAAGGCGCAAGGTTATTGCTCAAATCTTGTTCGGTAAGCTCAAACACACTATGGATACTTTGGGGCTGGTCGCTCATTGAATGTACCAGGAACTATGACTCGCCATCATACACTCTGGCCCATTTCATTCAACCGCACATGCTTCCAGCGTATTTTGCTATCCGCGCCTTTAATATCGAATTGGCCAGGATACCTGACGTGGTGTCAATGCCACAGATCGGAGCAATGAGGATGCAATTCTGGCGGGACACCATCGACAAGACTTTTAATCTTGCGCCTCCGTTAGAACCTGTGGCCATATTGCTTGGTTCATATCTAAAGCAAGGATATAGGCTCAACAAAACCTGGTTTCATCGCATCATCACAGCCCGAGATAGGAAGCTGACGCATCCCGGCTTCACCAACTTGGCTGAGCTCGAGTCCTATGCCGAATCAACTTATTCGACACTTCTATATCTAACTCTGTCGGCGTTTCCTCTGAATTCTCTGACCGTGGATCATTTGGCTTCTCACATTGGGAAGGCAGCTGGGATAGTGGCTGTGCTCCGTGGAGTGCCATTGCTAGCTTTCCCCCCTCCACCTAACATGCATTCTAATAACCCCCCCGGAATAGGCGGCGCTCCTACCCGCGAACGACAGGGCGTTATAACGCTACCCTTGGACGTCATGTCCCAAAGTGGTGTCCAAGAAGAAGATATCTTTCGAAATGGAGCAAACGCTTCCGGTCTCCGCGATGCGGTTTTCGCGGTGGCCACCCGTGCCTCCGATCATCTCATAACTGCCCGTGCCATGCTCAAAGGCATCCGGGAAAATCAAGGTCCTGGTCACGAATTTGAACACATGCATGATGAAGGTCATGAATACGACAAGCACGAAGTTGGTGCCAAGATGTCTGCCGACAGGACCAAGGAAGAGATCAGCAATGGTTTCGGTGTAATAATGGGCCCATCTGTCAGCACTCAGCTGTGGCTCGATCGTCTGCAGAAAGTGGACTTCGATATCTTTCATGACAGCCTTCGAAGAGTTGAATGGAAGCTACCATTTGTCGCATGGTTGCGTAACAGGAGCGGCAAGCTATGATCTTCACGGTCGGGATTTGTCTCACGGAGTCTTCAGGGCCTCTATTCGAGCATTTGTCCTTGCTTCCTGCAGTTGAGACAAGGCGTTGGCATCAACGGTATTTCGCCGGCTTCTGCTCAGGGCCATAGCATCCCCCCTTTTGCCCAGGATTGCTTCGATCGCGCCTACCAGAGCTTGCGAATCGTAGTACATCTGGCCTTTTGAGCCCTTACGACCGTAAAGCTTCAAGCAGTCGATCCCAAGAGACGCGAGATGATCTCGGTCGACATGTGGGGTGCCTTCTCCAGTCAGGTGAATGACATGGGTCACGTACTTGCGGTAAATCGAGTCTCGAGCACCATCACGCGAGGGGCGGTTTGTGCCGGGGAAAAGGAATTCACCGTGTCGTGCAGCTGCAGGACTTGATGGCGCCGACGTCTTCAATGTGTCGGCTGACCGCGAAGTGTGAAGCTTAGTTCTCGGTAGACGTCCCTGGGACTGTTCGCAAGCACGGGTGATTGCCTCCACGAAGTCAAATGCAGAAAAAGGATCCGAACTCGGGCCTGTCTCGCGATCCAAGGATCCATTCAATATGAGAATTTTATGTCGGGCAGAGGTCGAGCTCAGAGCCTCTCCGACTCCTTTGAGGACAATGGACGGAAGAATTGAAGTGTAGAGGGAGCCTATAGAGTATATAATAGCTTGGGATTGGTTGATGGCCGAGATTACTCGTGGATTGGCCGGGGGTAGCATTTCCTGCCCGTAGGGATTGATGTACCATATTCGCTCTATTCGGGCTGGGAGGTCTTGGTCCAGGTCTTTGCTGAATTTGATGTTTCGCTGCCGTAGCGTCGGGAGAGTCCCGGGCAAATGAGCGTCCTCGATCTCCTCAGAGTGCTCAGAATGGTGGCGGGCACGAAAATCGGACGGAGAATTTGAAGACGACACTGTCGGCATCTCCAGGGCGGTCTTGGCCGCAGGGTGCGAGATGTTGTTCTGTCCCACTATAATCTCGCCGTTGGCCAGGCCAGCCGCAATGTGATGCGAGAAGTTGGAATTGATGCTGGGTATCACTCGCACTTCCCCGTCGGGGATGGCGCACAGGCTGCTCAACAAGTAGATTGCAGATTCAAAACTGCCACTGAAGAGCCGCGCGCCAGTCAGAAACAGATTGCCGACACTGGCAGACGTGAAGTCGAAAGTGGAAGAAGGCCTCGCTCGCTTCATGATCTCGAGGTTCAGCAGGTTGAGAAACGAGCGGATCAACTCCTTCTTCGCCGACGGGATGCCGTGCCAGAGTTCAGACGTGCCCCAGACTATGCTCTGCCATTGATCCGCCGCGTCCGTCGAGGACGAGGACGACAACCGGTGATTGAACAAGTTGGAGATGGCCGACCGTTCGGTCGAGGGCGGATCGGTGGGAATCAAACGGACCAGTCGACTTCGCACGTCTCCGATTCCCGGTCCTCCAAAGACACGTATCAACTCGGAAGAGGAGCCGCCGTTGTCGCTTATGGGAATGATGTAGGATAGAGGGCAGTCTTTGCTTTCGCGGACGGCTTCAAAGACATCGACGAGAGAGTTGGCAGCGCTACCGCCGGAGAAGACCACGATGCCCTTGGCGGTTGGCATGGTGGATTTGGCACTGTAGTCGACTCAAAAGAGCATGTCAAGGGATACCAGACCCTTTAAGTGCTCGGAGCAGGCATGAATGGTGGTTGATATCAGGGATGAACACTGTGTCCAGGATATCAATTCCGTGTTAGGTGACTCAGCCTTGCGAGAAGTTGCGGCGATAATGCGGAATGGCTGGTCTAGGAAAGATAGCCGACGACTTACCCGACATGGTTAGTGTCGGTTCGTATTTGGCAATGGTGCCGAGGCCGCCGTCAAAGCGATAATAATGCGCCTTACAAGGTGCCGATGGGCGAGTTGATTGATAAAAAAGGAGACTGACTATGATACGCGTTCTCTTTCGTGGAGGTTCACTGTGGACTCTTGTTGGCATGAGACAGTGATTGAGACCACTCTGTGACCAGGTCAGCGACCTAGATAAGAACGTCATTGTTGGTGCCCACTCAGAACGGCCTAGATCTGCCCATTGGAGGCGCAACCTGCAGCACTTGGAACCACATGCGCCCCTGAGGGATAGCCTGCACCGCCTAAAAGCTTAGACCATACGGGCGCGTTCGACATGTCATTGGTGCCATTGGCCTCGTCCCCTGTTACCACAAGTTCCCCTCCACCTAACGGCGCCTCTCTCCATCCATCGCGGTATGGGAATTTTATTCTGGGGCGGCGTTTCTTTTCAGCTGATCCTTCAGCACTGCGCTTTCATGACCTTGTCGCTCAATTTCACCCCTTTGATCTCACCCTCGTCTCCCTACTTGTGTCGATGCTGAACCTTTCTCTTGTATTCTGCCAAATGTCCCGCTCTTGGGAACTTTCCACCCGTACCTCAAAATGGTGACCCATCCTGCCCATGTCGTGGTTTCCTCGAAGCGCACGTCCCTCGAGTCTGTCGGTGAATCCGAAACCTCCTTAGCCCGCCACTCCCGAGAACATGGCCACCGCGGGCGTCACGAGCACGACCTGGAGGCTCAGAACTCGGTTGTGGAAAACCACCCGCAACATATCCGCATCCGGGATAACACGGAACACCATCACCACGATGGAGAGGGCGCACCACATTCGCCGAACCTTCATCGCAGCGAGACCGGGGTCTCCAAATACTCGGTCAGGTCTCTGCGGAGAAGGGGTCGAGCAGAGACCAATGTTTTGTACGGCGCAGGCGAAATGGGCAGAACTACAGGATGGACTCCTGGGCAGGAGCCGGGCATAGACACCAGCGACCCTGCTCCTCCGTACAGTCTGGGTGCCGCAACACCTGCCGATGCTGCGCAAATGGAGAGATTGAACCAACGGTGTGAGATTACGGTGGTGGATTTCAGCAACGAGGCGGTTTCTACGACAGATTTGGACAATGACAACATTGAAGAATTCCTTCAGAAAGGCGCTCCAGAATGGGCTGATGTCCGGTGGATCAATGTCAATGGGCTGTCTTGGGACGTGATTCGAGTACTGGGAAACCACAAGCATCTTCACCGGTTGGCTATTGAGGATTTGTTCAATACCAAAAATCGCACAAAGGTCGACTGGTACAGTGACCATACCTACATGATCCTTCCCTTGCAGAAGCTCATCAACATCGAGGACAACGAACTCGACTACGATTCGGAAGTCGACGACAAGGAGGACTTGGAATCTGTCGATGCCGAGTCCGAATTTCGGACAAGGATCATCACAGAACGCCAGCGACGGCAACGGCAGCGGAAGCGGAAGGGCGCCATCCGGTCTTTGATTGAGGATCTGCAAAAGCCCCTGCGGAAGGAAAAGAAGAAAGAGACTCTTAGATCTCCAGATATCATAGGAGACGGAATCCAGCCCTCGAACAGTTTTAGACACTCGAGCAAAGCGGAAACGCCATGGGCACCCAGGACTATTCGCACCATGCAACGCTACCATGCCGGCCCAAACCAAGACCGAATCGAGTACATGGAGCGCCACGCTGTCCTTGGACATAAGGGTATTGGGGTCTCCATGGAACAAGTCTCCATTTTTCTTTGCGCCGACAACACTGTCATCTCCTTCTTTGAGTACTCTGCGCACGATGTACAGACACCCATCATCCGCCGGTTACAGTCTCCTGGCACAATTCTCCGCCAGTGCTCTGATGCCAGTATGCTCTGTCAAGCCATCCTTGACGCGATTATCGACCTGGCTCTCCCCGTAACAACGGCATATCAAGACGCAATCGGAGATTTGGAGCTCGACGTTCTCACCGACCCGGACATTCATCAATCTTCCACCTTGTACATCTTGACCTCGGAAATTGCGATCCTCCGCAACGCCATTGCTCCGGTAGTTCAGCTCATCGGTGCGCTGAAGGATCACAAGACCAGTGCCCAGCCTACGATGATAACTCATTCGCGTATCGCCAGTCCGGCGGCTCTCGACCAACAAAACAACGACCCTATGAACAAGGCTCCGCTTTATCATACCCAAAGCAATAACCTCCGCAAACACTCCAGCGCTCCCCTAATAGTGAGCAGCGTCGAGATTTCTCCGCTCACAGTCACCTACCTGGGAGACGTAGAGGACCATGCTCTCCTTATCCAGGATAGCTACGACCAGATGCGCCGCAACGCTGACAATCTTGTCGACTTGATCTTCAACACCGTGTCGGCATATCAAAACGAATCTATGAAACAGCTCACCATTGTGACATGCTTTTTTCTTCCTCTGACGTTTTTGACTGGATATTTTGGACAGAACTTTGCGACTTTCCCGGGTGTGACGGAGCATAGCGACGCGTTCTTCTGGGTCATTGCCACGCCCGTGTCGGTGGTGGTGTTCTTGTTATTGATGAGGGACGTCATGGTTCGCTGGCTGGGCCGGTGGGCGAACAAGGCGTTGATCGCCCGGGGCAGGAAAAGGCGGTTGGCACAGACCGGACAGCAGAGTTGAACCGTCTTTCTCGGTTGCGGGTAAGGGCATTGATTTCATTGGGATGGAGCAATTTACTAGCAGTGTTGTACAGTACAAGCTCGACATCTTTCTGTTTCTTTTGAGCGTGAGGGATCGAGCGAGCGAGCGTTGTTGGAAATAAACCTTGTACATTTTTGGCTATAATGGAACCAAATCTGGATCGAAATAAAACTTCGACTTGAACATGGGCCCCTTCACTTAAGAGGATGCCTAATCAGGCTTAGCTTGACATCAGCTCCGGTGCGCTTAGATACACCTAGACTACGCCTAGGTAACCAAGAAGAACGAGCGCCTTAAAAAAATGGTCTCTCATGCGAGCCGGGAGCGGGGGTCTAGCATTACGCACAGACAAGTCGAAAACTGGCTCACTCGTTGTAGAATCTCGTATTGCTTCAAAGCAGGAGGGGAAAGAGAAGGGAGGAGGAAGATAGAAGATGACAGGATGAGGAAGAGGAAGAAAATAGGGCGCAAGAAGCTAGAAGATACTCATGCACCATCAACTCAGAAGTCACAGACAGCAGAACATGGTTCAACGGTTGGGGGTTGCCAGCAAGTCGGTTGCGGCGGGGCCCAGAGATGTTTGATATACTCTGATTCAGCGAAGAGCCTTTCCAGAGACTCTTCGTCTGAAGAAGACAAGTTCGAAACGCTGAGACTTTTGTTGACAGGAATCTGGGAAAGTAGAGCTAGTCCAGTTTCCAGGCCCTGCGCTTCGTCTCGCTGGTTCTCTTGTATTTTCTCCAGGGAGAATCGAATGTGCGGATGTGTGATTGACGCGCTCAAATCGACGAGGTAGGCTTTAGACTCTAGGCTCTGAACCAAGATATTCGATGCGCGGAGGTCCCCGTGGGCGACTTGGGCACCATGCAAGGCCTTGAGCTTCGCGCGTATTTGATCCGCAATATCTCGACTTGGTCGGATCCGCCAGAGTGGGTGCCCATCGATCCACTCAAACAGAATACCTGGGATGTCTTGGTCGGCCGCTGAAGGAGGTCTGTTCCACGTGAAGGGATGGATTTCAAACTTCCGAGATAAATGGATTTCTGCTCTCGCTGGGATCTTTACCCAACCGTAGCAGAATGGAGTGATCTGGCCGTTGAGGCCTTGTTGGATCAGCGAGCCGTTTGCGCGGCATTCGATGAAGAAAGGGTCGAGGAGGTATCTTCGCTTCATTCCCCGGAGTCGGGACACATTCAGCTCTGGATGGTCGAACTTGAACTGTATGCGAGATTTAGTAGGGTTAAAAGAGGGAGTCTCAATGGCATCAACTTACCATCTTCAAGGCATATTGCTTGTCAGCAATACGTACTCCAAACACGTGGCCGGCGCCTCCTCCGCCCGCGTAGCTCAAGAAGCGGATTTTCTTGTCCGTCTGGTTGAAGCGCTCGAGAAGGAGAGACTCAAAGTTGTGGGGATTTGACGAAGACTGCGGTTGAGGGTCTTTATCTGGGCATGGGGAGTTGCCTGTTTCCATGGGATTTGGGCAATAAATAATCTGGCTACAGTCTGGCGGAGATTAGGAGACGCGTTGGGATGAGGGATACCGATGGCTGTTACACAGTGTAGAAGTGAGGGCGGTGAACGGACCAACACGTGACCACATGACCAACTCTCAGGATGCTTGGGGGAAGAACGACATAATAATCTGATTCAATACTTTCATTTTCTCTATGGCCACCCCCCGTTCACCTTGAGAATCTGACCGGTAATGTAACTGGACTGATCACTGAGCAAAAAGACAATGGCGTCGGCCAGTTCCTCGGGCTCACCGAACCTCTTCAGGGGAATCAGCGGATACACCTCCCTGCTCATGTCGCCTCGCTCTGCGTCGTCGAATTGCGCCTGAGAGAGCGGCGTCCGTACGCCACCAGGCGCTACGAGGTTGACGCGCACACCGTGGGGCGCGAAATCCAATGCCCAGGTCCGCGTCAGGCCCAGCACCGCGTGCTTGCTGGCCACGTAGGCACCCAGGGTTTGGAAGCCGTAGTAGGAGGCGCTGCTTCCGATGTTGACGACCGAACAGGCGCCGCTGTGGCCCGGCACCCATTTCCACGGGTAGGCAGACTTCTCTCCATTCTTTGGCTTCTTGGCCAGAATGTAGCGCAGGAGCTCGGTGCCGACGTTCCAAGTGCCCGTGAGATTGACGTCGATGGTTTTGTGAAAGGTCTCGTCGTTCTCGACGATCCCGCCGCTCGACGGACAGATCCCTGCCGAGTTGACCAGGCCGTCAATCTGTGGCGTGCGCGACAGAATGGTCTGAAACGTCTGGCTGACTGAGGGGCGGGAGGAGACGTCAACCGATGGATACGAGAACACCTTGGCTCCGGAAGCGGTGTTTCGCTTCGCTGTCGCGTCGATTGACTCGGGGAACGACGCTGCGCTGTCGAGGAGGTGCACTGTCGCCGAGCGGGCCAGGAGTTTGTGTACCGTGGCCAACCCAATGCCCGATGCGGCGCCGGTGACGATGTAGGCTCTGTTGGCGAGAGATGTTGACGCCATTTGGGAAGTCGTATAGCAGGATTTCTAAACAATAGGATCGAGAACAAAACCTACGAACTCAAAATAATTGTGAAGTGAAATAGTCAAATGGGATTTTTGTGAGTTGCTGGATATCTGGTGTAGAAATCAAAACATCTCTCAACTCTAGTCAAACTCCACAGACTAGAGAGACTGTTGTTGTCAAGACAAGGTATTGTACAAATGAGAAATAAAGGATGGACCAAGTCGGGGTTGACACAGGATGTATCCGCGACGACGGCTCTTGCGTGGGAAGATCCCGATTGACCTAGTCATACCTCATACAGAGGATATGAATGACAAAGGAGAATATTGGAAGTCCTGGGGGAGATCAGACCTGATCATCACCTCCTCTACGATGGGCTGGTACCGTAAGAACCACGTTTCAAACCTGCGAGTAAATCGACAGGTAACAAAAAAAGCCGAGACCCAGATTAGATGTGGGCCTTCATTGACATATACATTGTCATCGCCGTGACTGCCAGAAAGTCCAGAGCCCCTGTGGATTCTCTTCCACCAGGGAAGGGGTTTCGACCTTGTATGTGTCAGCACTTTCGTTTGTCATCGGTTTAAAACCTACTTGACTTGGCCCCACAGAAACCTTGCCCAATCACGCTTAATCTCAGCAAGGTACGTGACTAACTTGTTTTGGGATATCAGTCTATCGTACTGGTCTCTGAATCCTGGAGTGGAGAAAGACATTTCTTCACCCCTGGGACGGTGGCACGGTGGGTGGATGCTGTGTATTTGATGTTGATGTTCCGCAGCCAGAAGTGTCATTGTTCGTGTAAGTCAAGTACCTCGTACTAATTGTCCATAAAGGAAAATTACGCAACAAAATACAACCATGAATGGCGTGATCCACATGCCTATGACAATGTAAATGCGTTACTGCAAATCGCGGATATCAATATTCTGGAAAAGCCAGCAGGGTATGTTTCTTGCCACCGTCATCGTTGCCGCCGTTCAATCCATTAGTTTTCGTTGCAACTTTGCAGGTATCCCCGTAGAAGTTGAATTGTGTTGTGACTAAGTTTACAAGGACATGGAAAGACTCCCTAAATGCCCACTTTGAATAGGTACAGGGTCAGATACTGGGCCTATACTCCCAAGAGAAGTGAAATAATCGTCCTATGGAGGCGGTTCTGGTCCATGGCACGGACTGTTTTGCGACATCAGAGCCTCGTTCTGTCGCTACTTATTGCGTACCTAATCGAGTTCTTTCTGTGCAAAACCCATCTTCCCTGCCGCTCAGTGCGTTAAGACGCACTCCTACTCCGAGTTTGTTGGTTCAACAATCTTTTCTAGAACTGCCCGGTAGTGTTCTGCCCCTGCTATACCGACTTCTCCAGTGCCTTTTGGTATATCTGCATCGTCTGCTCCGTCATTTCGATTGGCCCATCAGGCGGGGCTGTGGGAATGCGGCACGAGCGACCTTGGGCCACGACATTCTCGTACCCGTCAAACTTGAGCTCGGGGTACTTGTCGAAGAGGGTGCGGTCGAACCGCCACGATCGACTCGCGTAGAGACGGATGTCGTGTGAGAGTTTGAGGACCGACGCCGGGGTCGTGAAGATATCGACGAGGTTGAACGGTTTGCCACCACCCGAATGCGAAGCTGAGGTCGATGATGAGGAGGCGGCGGCATGGTCGTAATCGTCTTCCTTCCCGGAGACACCCCCGGCTGGTGGCGAGCCAGCGTGCTCGCTCAGCGCAAACTCGGCATATATACCACACGGATCCTCGACATTGAGCATGCCCTCATCGGCCGACTGGTTAGCATAGTCTGCCGTGGCAGGCGCCGAACTGGGCGACCGGCCTGACTTGCTGCGGCGGCTGTTGTTGTTTTGGTTTTCAAAGGCCACGTCGATGGCGCGGAAGATGTTCCATATTCCAAAGTAAGCCCGGCCGCGTGGAGCCTGGGGCAGGATCTGAGCGAGGTCCGGCACCTCGATCACGTACGAGTTCATCATGTCGCACAGCAGTCTGTCCAGGACCACCGATTGGTTGTAGTACATGATGATCTTATCTCGCAGCTCCGAATACGGGACCCAGTCGATCACGGCCGAATGCGGGACAGAAAGTTGTAGCTCGGTTGGTTTGTAGTTTGCCCCGAGCAGGTTATACATGTCGTACGAGGGACAGATGCGCCACAGCAGGATCGGTCCAATGATTTGAGGCACTTGAGACTTGAACCACACCGAGTAGGACGACGGCCAGGCATTTTGGACAAACAGAGACATGATAGTCGAGCACGAGCGGATCAGCCTGGGAAGATGGATATTAGTCTTGACTCTGGAAGCAACACTGCGCTTGCACTTCTCAAAGAGAGGGAAGAGGGAAAGGGAGAGGAGAAAAGAGGAAAAATCGAGAAGTCTCTTACTTTTCCCTGCTTGATCCATCTGGGGCAGCATCAATCCGGCAGCGGACTTGGAGCTCTAGAGTCTCCATATGTCTCGCAAACGCAGAGGAAGGATTGTTTGGGGATAAATCCCCGCCAAACCACGGTGGGAAGTGGCCAGCAGGAAGGCTGAGGTTGGTCTGCCCAGGAACACTTTGGAGGAGCGGATCAGGACCATGCTGCTGATGCTGGTGCTGATGCTCCTGGTGCTGTCCTGCTTGCTGCAGCGATGCTCTCTGATGGACGGTGAGGTCTGGGTGACCCGGTGCAGCGGTATGGGTATGCAATGTCTGGCCGGCAACCTGCTGAGCAGTGTCAAAACTTGCCGTGGCACTGGCGCCAACAGCGGCAGGAGATGTCATCCTTGTCGCTGCGCGTGGTGAGGCAAAGGTCGTGCCATAGACTTGGAATCCCATAGGTCCCATGGGTTGTGAGTAGAATTCAAGGCTGTTAGGGTCACCAAAACCCCACTCGGGGCTTGCCGCCTGCACTGTTGCATTGGGAAGACTTCCGTTATGATTGACAAAGTGATGAGAAGGGTGTTGTTCCCCTTGGTGTGTCCCGGTTTCGGGCTGCAGGTCATCTGCCGAGCTTGGAGAAGGGTTCAATACTGGAACGTTGTCGTTTGACGTTTCGTCTGGTGGGCGAGTTTCATGCCCTGTGTCTGTTCTCTGGGAAGCTTCAGACCGAGATAAACGCTCGTTGTCATGCTCTGTGTGGTGGGGTTGCAGGTTCAGCTCGGTTAATTCTGGATACTCTGCATACTCGTCCGAGAGGTTGCCAGGGTTCAAGCCTCCGGGACTGGAGCTTTCTTCTTCGTAGGCTAGATTACTCAATGGCGACGACATGGGATTGGTGTCTTGGAGCCCTGGAGTAGAGCCCGAGTCTTCCAGCCCCTTGACGTGAAGGATCTTGCCAACCTCGGTGCCCACGGCGTGCAGCGAACATGACAGCTTCAAAATCTGCGCCCGCATCTTCAACGTGGCCGTTCGCAGATCTGCGAGCTCCTTTGACAGGGCCTTGTTCCGTGCGCTTTCCGTCTGAGTGCTCGCCTTGGATGCTTTCTCGAGGCTCTTGATGTACAGAGACTTGCGCTCCCGAAAGTGGCGTTGGGACAGACGATTCCGAATTCTCCTGCAGATGGTAAAAAAAATAATAATTCGGGTCAGTACATGTCGTGACCGCTGAAATGGTGACCAAGAATTAATTGACTGGTTGAAAGGGCTGTCCACCTTTTGGAGGCTTCATCCATGTCATCCCATCCCTCGAATGTCGCCGCCGCTTCCACCTCCACTGGTTGGTTTTCTTTTCTTCGCCTCGGCATCTTTTCGTTAGACGATGGCTTACGTGCTTGGAATGCAGAGACAAATCGTGATATAGATATATACGAGCTTCGAGTAAAGAAGAGAATCGGTAAAGTCAAGCAAGACGAGGGGGGCAAGATGGTGTGGAAGCGAGGAAGCAATCAAACAAACAGAGAATCGGCCAGAAAAAAAGGTCCCCACGATGTTTCTTCGGCAGAATCTGGGGACCCCGTGGATCAACAATCAATTTCTGGTTCCGGCGTCCGACTAGTCTTCCCTCGGTTTACCCCTCAAGTGGCCGAGTTGCTCGATCTGCCAATCACCCGGATTGGGCGTTCCTGGGCGCGAGAATCGTGTCAGAAATGGGTCTTGACACGATTCAAGCAAGTGCTAAACCTAATTGGGGATCAAGAGGATCAAGAGCTGCTATCTTGGCCCTCTGATGACCTCCCTCCCATTTTACAAGCCAGGTCTAGCCACGGATCAGCCTAAGAGACCTGGATTCTCGTTGAGCAAACTCCCTCCCCATGGTACCCTCAAATATGCTAAGATTGTGCCACCCATTCCAGTATCCAAGGCAACTCTCCAGCTCCTTGAATCCTACTCAGATGGGCGCACACTTTCCTCTTCATGTGATGCGACGTGATGCGTCTTCACATCTTCCCCGATATCCTTCTTTTCCACGTTGACCCTCAACTCGGGCCCGACCCCCCCTCGGCCATAAATCTGCTTAGGTGTGTGACCTGTCATATAGCGGTCGTAGTCCTTCATATACAGCGCCGCGAGAACGGCCACGCCACCGACAGCCAGGGCGGCGTAGTAGACGTAGGCAAATGCGTCGGCATAAGCATCCTCGGCAGCACGAGCGACAGCAACTTGTATCTCTGTGGTGATTCCCGGGACGCTGGCCAGTGCTTCGGCGGACTGAGTCTGGATCGCCTGAAAGAGTTGCACGAGCGAGGACTGGGGGAGACCGGCCTGAAGAGCGGCGCGAGTCACATATGCACCGACCTTGGCGGTGGCTTTGGAATTGAGGATCGCCACGAAGACGGCCGTGAAGACGGCGCCTGAAATCGACCGTAGACCGGAGAGCACAGCTGAGCACAAGAATTTTGTCAGGCTAATGGAGACGAGGAACAAGCATCGCGGTTAGACAAACATACCATAGACCATGCCAACATCTGCGTCCTGAGCATCAAGCTGGACCATGATTGTCGTACCTGTTTCCAGCCATCCTATCGGGAATGCGGTGAGAAATGCGAACGCAATAGCCTGGCTCTTCTGAGAGCGGTTGACCTGAGAAAGGGCGGCGGTAAAGGCGAGGCTGAATATGAGAAGTACCAAGACCTGGCGGCGCAGATGCTTAATGACGGACACCAAGGGAAATAGAATCATAATTCCACCCCAGATTCCCCATCCTATTGCTGTCTATGTGAAGGTCAGCTTGAAAGAACGATTCCCGGAGATCAAAACAAAGAGATGGAAAGGGTGGTATGCGGCGGTCGTACACTCATCCAAGCCGAAGTCTGCCAGTCTCGATTCTCAGAGCCATAGACCAGGACGACCTCTGTAAAATAGACCCGAAAAGTCTTGAGGTTAGCCAGTGACCTTGCTCTTATTTGCCAGTGTGATTGCAGAGATGTTGTCCACTTACGTTGAGGCCAAATGACATTCAGGGCGATGTACATGGCTCCCGCGGCCATGGAGACAATGTTCAGACAAACGTAGCCTCGTATATCTTTGAACAGGGTCATGTCGACAATCGGGTTGGGGCTCGGTGTATATACCTCGTATATGACGAAAATGATGAGTGTGACCCCTCCAGTAATTAGTAGGCCGAGGATGCGCCCTGATGTCCACGGCTGAGGGTTGCCGCCCCAGGAAACTCCGAGGATGAATAGAGTGAGGCCCGCAACGAGCAGAAAGAGACCAAAATGGTCCATGCGCTTGAATTCTCGCCGTCGAGAGCGATGACCACCGTGGAGTTGATCAAAGGTCGGGGGGTGGTAGACCAGGATCTGGATAATCCAACCGGAGCCTGTGCGAGAGGAGGTCAGAAGATCGTATTCGCCTGGCATCTTCAAGAGCAGCCTGCGATCGAGAGGCGTGGGAGTAGAAGACGATCAGCCACTCGATCTATGCTGCACTGGCCTCTGAATCCTTTCCACTCACCAACCAAGATAAGGTAAATATAGTAGATCCACCGCCAGCTTCTTGTCTCGACAAGCGCACGAGCGATATAAGCTGCCAATCCGGTGGATATGACCATGGGGATCAGCATCATGAACACGGCCAGAAACTTATATCGGTGAGGTAACAGCTCTATCGATGAGTCGGTCAGCAAATCTTTCAACAGAGCCAAGGCCGCAAATGGGTTGATATTATTTACCTCCAGTAAAGAGGCTCTGCGAAGAATGAACCCCAGATGCGAGACCAATGATAACCTGTAGATATAAAGACATGTCAGAGCAAATAATGTTACAACAGGGAAGAAGAGAGACACACGTTCGCCCCGATCAGGGTGTTCATATTCTTTGCCGTGCAGGCCACGATCCCTCCGATTATCGCGAGTGCTCCAGCACCGAGCACAAAATTACGTCTTCCAAACTTATCCGAAACACGTCCTGTGATCAACAAACTGATGGCGTTGCATAATGTCCATACGATGGAAAAGAGGCTCATGTCATTGCTCGGGCCTGTGGCTTTGTGTCAGACTCCAGATCCAGAGAAGGGTCAAACGGGGAATGAGCAAGGCAGTTCACGCACCGATGTCTAGATTGATGAATGTCAGGACCGACGCTGGAACGGCAAAGCCAAAATACGACGAGACCACGGTCAGAGACATTGAGACCATGGTGCCGACCAAGGGAATGCTGGTGAAGTATTCTCGTGGCAACTCCTCCACCTCCTTGGCTAGGAGGTTTGCGATCCTGATGTCCTCCTGATATTCCTCATCATGTCGATCGCGAGGTTTGGCAAGATGGAGAGCATGGTGGTGGTGGTGTTGACCATCGTCAGGATGATGATGTACCTCAGATTCGCTGATTGTATCAGCCATGACGGGACCAAAAAGTCAGTGGGCTCAAGTTGTATACAGCGTAAAATGGGTGAATTATTGTTCGATAGTCTCTCCATCCCTAGCCCAGCAGGCAAATATATCTATCCATATGTCGTACAAGACTCTACCCAATATTCTGGCCCAACTATCGACGAGTCGAGTCCTGACTAGTCTGCAAACGGACAAACATCAAGCACATTATCGGAACTCTGTCATTTCTCTGTCATTCTTTATGTGGTTCAACCATGACAAATGCTACCGCCCTCCTGATTTTTCTGTCGGTATCCGAGTCAACATCCCCCGGGTGAATGCCCCATATACCCCGGAGAATGATCCGACTCGAGTCAGGCCAAGGCCGGGGTAGCGGAACAAGGACTTGCATACATGAGGATAACTGGGCCAGGGCCAAATAAGGCAAGGCGGCGTGGGGTTTGTTGTTTGACAAAACATAGGGACAGTCAGAGAATGGGCAGGTACTTCACGCTAGCCTGTCTTGGACGCAGATTTGTCTGCAATACGAGATGTCTGAATGAGTGCCTGAACTATGGCTTCTTGAAGAAATTAGACCAAGTTCTACTTTGAGAATGTTCCCTTCCGTGCTGTTCATCATTCGATATGACGAGGCATTATTACTGTCACATGGTCGAGGCTGGTTTACCTTCCCTACCAGGACGGCTTATCCACTAATTATTACTTAGTTAGATATAGCCTGATTCAAGTTAATACGACTCTCTAGGCTAGTAAAGCCCTGTTTTTCTTGCTCCGATCCCAATAGGTATGGTCAAACCACACAACCATGTAGATAAATCCGGTCGAGTATGCCAATGATGGAGGTCCCAGCTTCTTCGCTTTCCGATCCCAATCAGTATAGTCGAACCACAAAACTATATAGATAAAAATCCCAGCCTTTTCGCGCCTTCTCTGATCCATTCCTAACAAAGACACCATCACCCACACAACATCTCCCAGTGGAGGGAAACCAATGGAATCGCTGACTGGCAAGACTTACATTGTGACGGGGGCTGGATCTGGCATCGGACTGGAGACGGTTCGAAAGCTGGTCAATGCCTCGGCCATCGTCCATGCAGTAGACTTGGTCGCCACCCCTCCACCCGACTACAAGGAGTGGCAGCAGCAGCAGCAGCGACAGCAAGGGCAGGTACACTTCCACGGGTCCGTCGACGTCAGCTCCCGCGTCGCCGTGACGAAGCTGTACGACGCCATCCGGGCAATCTCTCCACGCATCGACGGACTGGTGAACAGCGCCGGTGTCTGTCCCGGCGGCGACGGCTACTTGCAGAGCGATGAGACCTACGACCTGACCATGCGTGTCAACGTGACAGGGACATGGAACGTCACGACGGCTCTCCTGGCCCTTGTGGACCAAGAGTCGCCCAACAGGGGCCGAGACGGTCCAGCCCCGGCCACCACGCGCGCCAGCATCGTGAACCTGGGCTCCAGCGCGTCTTTGTGCCCTTGGCCCACGCTCGCCGCATACACGGCCAGCAAGCACGCCGTGCTCGGGCTCACGCGGTCTTGGAGCCACGACTGGGCTCACAAGGGGGTGCGTGTCAACATGGTCGCCCCGGGAGGCACGGACACGCCGCTGGCCAGGGCACAGTTGGCCGACGGTGCAGGGAGGGGAGAGGCCCTCACGGCCGGATTGGCCCTCATCCCGTTCGGAAGACTGGGTCGCCCCGAAGAACAGGCCGACGCCATCGTCTTCCTGCTGAGTGAAGCGGCGTCGTACATTACCGGCCAAGTTTTGCCCGTCAACGGTGGCTTTCCCTGATTTATGTCAGTTTGGACAGAGTCATGACTGCAATGGCAAAGGAGAGACTTGTACAGCGGATTCATACACGTGCCGGGACTTATCAAACACCTGTGGACATCAAAATAGCATGTGTAACTCATGAAGTGTGTAACTCATCAAGGTGGACAGATGAATAAACAGAAGAATTGTCCGGAGTAGAAACATTGTCACGTAAATGAGGTCGATAAGCTAATATATGTGCTGGAGGACATGTACACCGTCTCTATAATCCTCGCGATATCAGTCTGCTATCCTTCCGCGCGTCCTCATGGGGAGAGATCATCTTCTGAAGGTGTCGACCTTTATAAATAGATCCAAAGTCAATACTGTCTTGCTTCTTCAATTCGCAGACACCTGCTGCTGCAGAAAGACTGCCGTGGTGGCCCTCTCCTGTTCCAAGTCGCGATTGCGGGCATTTTCTTCCTCGAATCTCAACCTCTCTTTTTCACCCTGTTCGCGTTTCTCCTGCTCCTTCTTTCTTCTCTTCTCCTCGGCGATCTCGATCGGATTCTCAACAGGGACATACGAGTCGAGATACTCGGTGGTGCCCTCCATCTCGATCTGGCGCCGGGAGAGGCCGTTGCCGAGCCATTCAAACAGCTCGCCCTTGACCTCCGGGCGCAGTTCGAAGTCAAAGTCCTCCCAGCGCGGGTTTTCAAACACGAAACTCCCGTGCAGTTGAGAGCCCGGCCAGATGGCCAAGAGACGGCCCTCGGGGCTGTTCTTGTGTCTCCACCACGCGCGGCACTGGTTTGTGGCACTATCAGAAAGCAGTCACACAATATCGAACACACGGACAGTTTTAGTTTACTCACATTGGCCGCGAAGATGGTGGGCTTGAAGTACCGATCGGCATATCTGCCGAATGATTTGATGGCCTCTCTCCTGAACGTAGGAAAAGCGGAGTGGTTTCAAGGTTAGCACAGGTCTTGGTCTCTAGAAATGACAAGAAAAAAAGAAGATACAAGGGATTCTGGGGAAGACGTACTTGGGAAGCATGCTCTTGTACCACTCTCGCTGGAGTTTTTGGATGCACTTGATCATGTACTTGGCCTCGTTTTCCAAGAACGGCACCGCGGACCCCAGCCCTGGTCCGCCGTTGGGGCCCAAGAAAATGAAGTAGTTGGGCATGTTCTCGGGTGCCATGGACAGGTATGCTTCAGGAATGTCGTCCCATTGGTCCCGGAGCTGGGCACCACCTTTGCCAACCACGGGGAAATGCACCTTGTAGACACCGTCAAAGCCGGTCGCGCAGATTATCGTGTCGACGGGCCTCTTGGTCCCGTCATCAGTTTCAATCCCATCACTATACACTTGCTTGATCGGGGTTGAAATGAAAGACACATTGTCCTCGACCAGCGCCTCGAGGTACCCCGGCCCGGGGGTCAAGCGACGACAGCCCGGCGGGAAGTCGGGGACCAACTGCTCGTAGATCTCTGGTTTCTTGGCCAGTTTGGTCTTCATGTGCTCCTTGCAAAAGTCCCAGAGGACCTGCATCCCCTCGGTGTTTTGGTAGAGGGCCTCGACGGGTCGATGAAGGATATTCTCAATCTGTTTCCGGTACTCGATGTACTCCTCTGGGTTCTTCTTGAACCGCTCGAGATCCGCAGCGGGCGTTATTGCTGTGAGGAAGCAAGTATATATTTGTCAGTGCTCAAGACGTTCCGGCATATTGAAGCCTTTAAGAAAAAGCGAAAAGGGGGATATTGTCGACGTGGGTAACCTACGGTCACCATTTCTTTCCATGAGGCCTTCGCCGCCAATCCCAGCTGGTGGAATCCACGTCTTGCCTTTCATGTAGTGATCGACGTGGGCCGCTTTGGGCTGGATCTTAGGGAGGATCTGGATGCCGCTGGAACCCCCTCCGATCAACGCCACCCTTTTGCCGGTGAGATCGTAGCTGGGGTCATAATGGGCGGAATGGAACATGTCGCCCTTGAAGTCTTGTAGTCCTGCGATGGCCGGCCACTTCCATTGGTTCAGGATGCCGACCGCAGAGCAAACCACGTCGGCTGTATCCACAAACTCCTACACGTCACGGGTTTTTGGAAGGTCAGAAATGCCCCCGGTTCCTGTGAAGAAGAAAAAGAGAAAGAGTGAAAGAGAGAAGAAAACAAGGCTGGGTTAGAAATTTTGCAGATATGCAGTGTCACCCGCATACTTACCTGTCCTGTCTCTGCATCCTTGAGCCTCACGTACCATTTGCCCTCCTGGTCGTTCCACTCGGCGCTCACCACCTCTTTCTTGAACTTCATGTATTTCAGCGCGTCGTACTTGGTGGCCACGCGCTTGAGGTAAGCCTCGATCTCGGCGCCGGGGGCATAGTAGCTGCTCCACTCTGGATTGTGTTCGAAGGTGAAACTGTAGGCGTGCGAGGGAATGTCGCACGCGATGCCCGGGTAGTTGTTCTCGAACCACGTGCCCCCTAGGTCGGCGTTCTTCTCGTAGATGGTCAAGGTCAGGTTCTCGATGGCCCGTGGGAAGAAGATGCCGGCGATGATGCCCGACATGCCTGCCCCGATCACAATCACCTTCATGGGCCGCGGCTTGTCGACCGGTCGGGTTGCGAAATCCAAGGGGTCTACGTTGTCGAAGAACCCTGGCCCGCCCTTCATCTGTTTCTTGAAGGCGTACATCTTTTCCCTCCACTTCGTGCCCCTGGGTGTGAGAGAGTGTGTGTACGTGTATATGTGTGTTCCGGTGCGGTTTGGTGTTTGGTACTTGACAGGGGAAGGTAACTTATAACTCTGCGCCTAGTGAAATGGACCCTCAGTAGGTACAACAGATATATATTTCCACCCTGCGCCACTGCTGCTTGCTATGCAATGTACATATACCCTCTTCCATAGGTAGAACTACTTGTTATGTGTTTCCCCTCTCTGCACCGTCGTCGAATGGGCCCACACTTAACCGACAATAGATCCACTAAGGCTTTACATGTGAAGGCACAGCTCGCCACTGTGCCGAAGTACATGTCACATAAAGCGGGGTCTGGGGCGAGGGAGCGGTATATATGTAATCGTTCGATGACTTTGAACATCCTCCAATCAACACTCTAGAACCTGCATTGCCATGATCCTCGCTGCCGCGTGTGTATCTGACCGAAAACTGTGTGAGTTTGTTTGTCATTGTTGGAGAGGTTCCATGACTAAAGAAAATACGGGCTTTGTTCGTCAGAGAAACCTGTCAGTCCTCTATCTGTTACTTTGTGTAATGGGTCTAGTTGACCCTTGGTGACATCCTGGGTATACACTTGGACACGTCAAAGCGCTCGCTCACGATGGTTCCGGTGATCAGAGAATCACTTCACACGAGGAATTCGAGGCCTCTTTATTGGTTCAAGCATCGGTGATGAGAAGTCACTATTCTCATTTGGATAATTCATCTATAGAGCGTTGGTCCAGCATCAGCATCCCGTCTGGTGATGGTCAAGGTCTCAACCCCCCTTTCCAAAAGCCTTGTAGACCTGCTCCTCGAAATTGACGTTGAATTTTCCCGCAATGGCATCACCAGGCGGCATGATTTGGAGGAACGCCGTCGCCGCAATCCCTGTTTTCCGGTCGATCCACTGTGTCAAAAGCAGGATCGGCATTGTTAGTAAACAGATTGATTGATAGAACATGGCAAGGGATGGGGACAAGAATAAAGGGGCTGGAGAACTCGTACCCAGATCAAATTCGGCGCGCCCGACCACTGCAAAGTACCGGCAGCTCGACGACCGGGAAAGGCCTCGAGGTTGATCAGCCCGGACAGGCCGTGGTCGATCTTCGCGTCCGGCGGGATCGAGGGACCAAGGACAGGCTTGTAGGGTCCCTTGACCATGTCATCCAAGGCCTGTGGGTGCAGCATCTGGGGAGAGAACATCTCGTCGACGCTCTTGGAGGACAGGATGGGCCCTCCGCCATCCAGTAGCGCCGACAGCATTTTGATGTAGTCATTCGCGCTGCCCCAGACTCCGTGGCCGCCCATCTCCACGGGACTTTCTTTGGGGACGGGAATGTCTTTGGCAATGGCCTGGCCGGTCTCTTGTCGTTCGAAGCCTTGGACGATCTCGTTGGGGGGGAACTTCAGCGGGTGGAAGGTCGTGTGCGTCATGCCCAATGGCTCCCAGATGTTTTTGCGGTAGTAGTCCTCGAGCGTGGTCTTGTTGAGTCTCGCGACCTGTCACCGTGACACTCGCAGTCAGCAATCTCGAAGCCGTGACCACCCACCCTGTTACCGGTTTCTGGTTGAGACATACCACCTCAGCGGCCCAGTCAATCCCAGCTCCGTAGGTCCAGCTTGTTCCCGGCTCAAAGGCCAGGGGCACTGTCTTCATGGGGATCTGTCCTCTCATTCCGTCAGCTTCTCCTTCTCCTGTACACAACCCATCCCGTAGTCCAACGGGCTGTGGAGAAATTTACCCCCGTGTTGTCCAGAGTCGTGTATTTCAAGCCGGTTGCCTTGGTCCATTTGGCCAGGGAAAATGGCATAATGTCGTAGCCGAGACCACTTTGATGGGATAAGAGCAATCTGAACCCCTCCACCACTCGGGGCGCGAATCAGTTTGGACTGGATTGGCAAAGACGACATGAATACCATTGGGGGTTTGTTCGAGAAACCAACCTCAGGGTGATTTTGTTCTGCCGAGGCTTGGTCGTGGGGACTCCCTTGTCATCCTCGCCGCCATCCAGGACCTCCAGAGCAGCCAGTTCGGGTACATGAGGCGCAACATCGTCGTCGAGTCCAATGAGGCCTCTCTCCACGGTCTGCATCGCCGCGACCGCGCACATCAACTTGGACTGCGAAGCCAGCCAGAAGAGATGATCGCCTGTCAGGGGCTGGTCGGGCGCCGAACCCACCCCGCTGACATGTTGATACAGGATTCTTCCTTTGCAACATCAGGTAGATTCTCAGCGTCCGGAGCACTTCCATTTCAAGGAGTAGGCGTATATGACAACCATATGGCCCGGGGAAATGCTCACCTCCCCTCCCAACGGCGGTACCAATGATCGAACCCGTCACGAAGTCACCGTCCTGCTGGTTCGTAGCCCGATCAATCAATTCTGTGATCCCCGACATTTTTCTAAGCGGTGCATGTACGAGTCGGTCAGGGTTACCGTCTTCCAAGGCAGCTCTCTCCCTTTGTTTTTATTCTGGTGAGAGAGGCCTTCATCTTTGCTCGCTAACCCACGTGATTGTGGTGGAAACATACCGAGTATTCGATGACCAACAATCTTATTAGCAATGGAATAACAGGCAGAAACGCCGCAATCAATCTTGGTCTGCCTGACGAACTTATGCTATCTTGGTCACGATCAAATCGCTGAGTATCTAGATTAACCCCCATATTCATGGCTACCCTGAATCATTCCTGTCCAATCCGTGGACTCTGCCAACTCGTGTGCCATCATATGACGTTTCTTGGTTCCCTCGTGACTTGTTATTCTTCCCGTCCGATCTGCCTTCGCGGAGATGAAGACGAGTCTACTAGCGCCGGAAAGACCGTACACACCCAGGTGAGTTTGCCATATCTCCCCTTCCAAGAGAGCACTTCTGGCCCATTCGAATTGTGGCCCTATAATCTTCTACGATATACAGTCGAGCCAACTCCTTGTGCGACTACTTGAGGTCCGCAGCTGTCCAATTTTCTTTAAAGAACTCCTCGGTGTAGTTCCCCCATTGATCAAGCTCTTTCGCAGTGTCTTGGTATAGCTTTCGGATAATATCGACCTTGTCCTCGCTCCGAGGTTTGATGGTGCATCTGAGTATTTTTCCGAATCTGATTAGCCCATGTTTTATATTTGTGCCGACTCCAACCTCGAGATCTGATTGGGGGCTCTGATGTACTGAGGTAGAGAGTGTGTTGTACTTACTGGAACGGAGCAGGTCCAACCACCAATCCCTCGGTAAGCGCATCTCTCTCAACCAGGATTGGCACCCCTTGCGCGTCGAGCTTGTGGTGGAATTCAAATGCCCAGAGCAGCCGGGCCATGGTTATGAATAGTGTGCGGTCCGCGACATGGGAGCCCGGGCAGACCCTTCGTCCAGCGCCGAAGGTGAGGTGTGGCCTCTTTTCGTAGTTCTGGGTGATGGAATAGGCGTCCATGCCAGACTCCTCTTCCGGGAACCGCTCGGGGTTGAAGTCGCGTGGGTTGTCGTATCTTGTCGGGTCGTTGTTGATAGTCCAAACCTGGCCAGAGAGCATCGTCAGATTATTTCTCCCCAAGAATCATTCTCTCTCCAACGCAACGTGTTGCCGCTTAACTGCTCACACTTACACAGTTCATCAGTCCTGTTCCGGCAGGGATCGAATAACCCATGTAGACATCATCTTTCATCGATGCATGAGGCATCGGCCCGCCCGTGAGTGTCGTGGGCTGCCCTGCTCGTCTGTCAGACCAAGTTATGTGCACACTGGGCAGCCGAAAGCGTCGACTCCCTGTGTCTCGTGCATTCAGAGTAATACTCACAGCGTAGTGTCTCCTCCACACATCGTCTTAGATATGGCATGTTTCCACGGTCGGTCCATTCAGGTAGTCGTGTGGCACCCACTACCGAGTCAATCTCGCTCCGCGCTCGACTCTGGACTTCGGGAAACAGCACCATTGCCTGTTGGAAGGGTCAGCGCTAACACAGAGGTAGGCATCAGATCGACGTCTGCCGGTCCGCGGGTGGTTCCCGCATACCTTGACAAAGCCCAAGAGGGTGTTTGATTGCGTATCTCTGAGATAGGTGCTGTCAGTAGGTGATGGCTACCAAACAGAGAAGTGGGTCAGGACAAGAATGTTATACACACGTTGCGGCGGCCCAGGCATGACCGGAGTTATACCACAGTTCACGTTCGCTCAATTGGTCCTTGCCTTTCTCGTTGGACAGTATCATGTCACGACACAGGCCTGGAAGATTCGGCAAGGGGACCACCATCGTCAGCAAGCCAGTAAGAGCAAGAACAGGGCGTTCGCAACGCAACCAGCAGACGATGGAAAACTGATTGGAACTGCGCAGATTTGTGCGTGCTTACTTGGATAATAACGTCCTTTCTGGATGTGATCCCTGGTTTCATCGACGAGGGTCTTCCACAGCCCCACCTCCATTCTCTCCAACTCTCCTAGATATCTCTTTAGTGGGTTGATCCGATAAGGCACGGCTCGGATGATGGGTCGGAGGACCGGCCACCAGTCGGCCAACTGAAGGGAAGCTCCTGCGATGACTGCCCGGCGAAACCACTGCAAGATCTCCATGTTAGAAACATCTCGTATGTTGCCTATTCCCTCGTGAGCATACTCACCTCTGTCAAGATTTTGACTTCCCGGATGTCAGCCGACGGGAATCGCTTGCCGTATGCAATTGTCGCCCCGATGCTGATCGTAAATCGTTCAAAGTGGTGTCGAAAGTCATCCGGCGTCTCGAGCAAGTCGTGGAGCAGCTGAGCCGTCTCGAAGTACTTTGACTTGTCAGTATAGCTAGCACACGGCACTTTGGTCCTTCTCAACTCAATCCGGTCGATCCCGATAGACGTTGAGAAGCACCCATGGGGCTGTCACCCTACCTGATATGGAAGATAGTTGTTGGCCAACTTAGAATTCAGACGCACGTGGTAGACTTTTCGTTGCCTTTTCCATACATCATCATATCTGTATCACACCAGTGGGACACAAGTGAGCTCATGGTTTTCATTTGGTATTTGAGGGGCCATGCATGGGATTCCTGGGACGTACGGTCGAAAGAATATGTTTAGATCATTTCCATATTCGCGAAACAAAATGTCCATTCGAGTTGAATTGTTCGCACTCCTCTTTTCTAACAGATCATGCACCGCGCTTGCTGAGCCGAGGAGGATGATACGCTGGGTTCCCAGTTGAAGTCCCACGAGAGGCCCATCTAGTCACGCAGCCACGTCAGCCCCTTGTCAATGAAAGTCGGTCTCTGTGCAGTCTGTTCGGCCTGGTGTCGGTGTGCATGAGAGAGGACAGGTTACATACATTCCTGCGTCCACTTTTGGAACTGTAAGTGCATGTCCTTGAGTGGGAACTGGTGCAGATTCCCCAGAATTGGCACCGTACGAGGACCTTGGGTAATAACCGTCAGCATGGCACCAAATACATGGCCATGGCAGCTGTATATATACGACGCCTGACACAAAACCAGAGAAATGAATGGTACTTACCTGGGGGAAAGTCTTTGGGCCTCATTCCCACTCGGCATAATTTGAGGGCGGCAAAGACCACGACGGTCAAAGCCAATCCGTATAGAATGAATGGCGGAATGCTCGGTCCAGCCATGGTAGTGAGTCTCCAGCCAATATCACTCGCTCGAAAGGTAACAAGTCGTGTGAGGGGCCGGAGTTAGAGTCACCAAATATTGTCTTTCATATATTGATTTTGACGGCTTGGGTGGTTGTTCATTCATTCCCTATATCAGCCATAATATGGAACAACGCACCGGCGGCGGCAATCCCCGGATTTTCCCCAGAGTCTCTGCAGTAAGGCCTTACACACCGTAGCTCGACGCTTGATGATGGAGCCAAGTCATTGATTCCCTGACCACGCAAACCGTGACTAAATCAACTCAAATGCAGCTCGGCGCCATCAATCCGTAGTCGGTCACGACTAAGAGATGCTCTAAGGAACCAGTCGTTTATGCACGAGGTTCTTTAGTCACCGTACAGGTTTCCAATGATCTTCCAGAGGCGATGAATCAGGTGTCAGGGAAATGCGTCTGTTTTCGGGACTGGATATTCCCGCTGCATCTTGGATTATGTGCACCAACCCACTCGGAGTCCTACAGCAACGTCCATTTTTCTTTCGGCTTGCTAGATCCAGCACCAAGGGAGGGTGTCGCTATGACTTGATAAAGTGCCGTCGAAGCACTTCTCTGCTGCCGTTGTTTTGCCTGCTTTTTCAGATCGGCAAGTCCGTCAAAGTGTATTTCAATTTTGTTGTCTATTGCAGAAGTTGACAATACAATAGCATTGGCCTGCCATCCACCAAGCTCAGTTTGTATCGTCTCCTCTCCCACTCTTTCAGCCGCCCAAAACCTGAATGTGAGCGTTTAAGTCTCGGGTCAGAGTATTTCGCTAGCACCCTCCAAAGTGTCCATAATGGCCTATTTTTCCTTTGTCAGTACGACACACTGTACCCGGTTCAGGAAATGCTTGTACCATGATGGAGGTGTGGATAATGGTGGCCTAATTTTCGTCAGTGCGAAACAGTTTACCTCTTTTTCAACAGCTGCTCGTACCATGATGGAATTGTGAGCCGTGGTGGCCTATTCTTCGTCAGCGTGGAACAGTTCAACCCTTTCCGACAGCTTCGCGTACAATGATGTAAGTTTGAACCATGGTGCCCTATTCTTCGTCAGCGCAATCCACGTTACCGTTTATCCACAGCCTCGCGTACCGTGATGGCATGGGGACTGTCCGAAAGGTGCCCCACGGCTTGATGAGGTTGGTGAGCATGAGGTATATGAAAATGAGGTATGTGTACGTGTTGCGTAGGATGGGCTGGCGGGGTAGGGAACGTTTGACGGGGCTGGAGGGCTTGAGATGTTGTTCTGGAGTCTGTGCCGTGGTATCTGGTCTTGTCGCGCAAGTCGTCGACGGATCGCGGTGCATGGAGCGAGCTGGAAGCAATAGGTTTAGGAACCGTATCGGTCTTCTTAAACTGCGTTGGTGGGTTCGTGCAAGCTGTCGATTCGGGCAAGGCGCTGCGCTTCGGTGTGGTCGACAATGCGGTTGCGGTTGGATTAGAGGAGGTAATGGGTTTCGAGGCGCTCGGTGGGCTGTCGTTATCGTCTGCCGGGCACGAACAGCAAGAGCCCATTATGGAGCTTTGATGTTGTGTCTGTGAGTGTCAAGTTTTCAATGGGAGAAACACGACGCAACACTTAGTACGAGAAATAGTTGACAGAGATATGCCTTTGCCTGTTGGTAGAAATTCACGTCTGAATGACGGGTGGCAGAAGAAGGAAGAAGAAGAAGAAGAAGAAGAAGAAGAAGAAGAAGAAGAAGAAGAAGAAGAAGAGAAATGGCACAAGGCAGGAACAACGTATACGCGTCGATGCACCGCTTAGTTACACACAAACTACAAATTGTGTGCATGTAAGTGAAGCATTGAGTCACCCTTTCACCAAACACGCGTTGTTCTAGGTCAAACGCAACCACCCGCGAGGAACGTCAGAAAACATTGGACAGCCGACTAGGCACATTGTGGCAATTTCATATAGGGAATTAAAAGAGGATGTCTGCAAAGGTTGCAGGTCGATATGGGGGCGAAGAGGTATACTTGCTAGTACCTTGTAAGATGGAACCACCTTCTGAGGTTGTCGATATCCGCCTTTGGGTATTCAACGACTCGATAAGACGAAGTGACCATCAGATAAACTAGAAAGACACAGTGCCTGTCCCCCTTCGGTGCACAGGCCTCACAAGCTCAATGCCTGAAGTCGTCTGTTCGGATAACCTCTGCGTGGAACGTTGGCCAGATTCAGTATCCCGCCGTTGCCGTTTGCGATCGAGTCGAGACGTAGAGTGACTCCTTCTGCGTGCCTTTCCGGTTGGAATTGACAGGATATTTCCACACGCGTGGAAAAGCCGTCGAAAGTTGATCTTCCAGGAGTTGTATCCGGTATAGATGCCCGCTGGCCGCCATTTTAACGGGCCCGATATAGTGGGAAGGAGAGCCTGTAAGGCTTCTCTAGACGCAACGTCGTAGAATCCCGCGTTTAGAGCCTTGCTTGCCACAGTCGCTGTCGCTTGCAAGCAATCGATATCATCATCCGGTCTCTCACGCCATGATGGAAGGTATCCCGTCGTGATACCAAGATGAAGCTCGTCGTCATGGCCAAGATAGCCGGCAAAGAAATACCTCCGCTTCGCCAACGTCACTTGCGCCTTTAGATGTTCCTCCTGGTCGTCCGATCGCTGGACCCAGAATTCTGGGCATCGAAGTATGGGACTCTGGTAGCAAAGAGACACAAAGTCAATAAATGTGAAAATCGGCCAGCACGTTCTGATTCTGCCGTAGGGCCTTGCCACCCAGATAGCAATGCAGTAGAGAACCAGGACCGCGAACGCGCCGTAGAAGTTCGAAAGTTTGATATTGACCATCAATGCGTCGTTCCCAACCTCACCATAGACAAAGACGCGTCCAATGATAACGTGGGTGAAGGTGCTCCCGGTAGCAAGGATAACACCCCATGCGATCCGAAAATTGCGGGCCACTAGTGCGTTGGCGATAGTAGAAACGGGGTCGGTTGAGAGATAGTCAAGAAGAACAGATTGTTGGGCCGAAGTTCCTTGCACTGAGGCGGCCATGTTTTGAATCGGTCGCATTGTGCGGTGATATTGGTCGGAGACTATGAATGTCGGTGAGAAGAGACCGAAGAGAAAGACGGGGAGGACGTTGAACACCAAACCTCGCTCAAAAATGCACAAGACTGCATTTTGCCGTCGAAGGTCGTCCGAAAGCCGGCACAGTTTGGGTCGAAACGCAATCGGTTGGGAAACGCTCCCCTTGGTCCAATAGACAATAGAACAGATAAATAATGTTATACCTATTAGGAAGACTGGCAGGATGTAAACGTCGGTCAGGTAGAAGTTACCAACCCGAGGTCGTCTGTATTTCGAAGAGAACTCTTGATTCTTCTCTTGATCAAACAAGTCGTTTACATCTAGGGCATTGGTTAGGCATGAGTTTCAATAGCAGGAAACCACACAGGGATTTACCTTGAACAGAGCCATCCGGAGGAGGGGCGACATGTGATTCGAGCTCGTCTCCATCTTCCAGTGGCGCCACGGGGCTCTGCACTCGAATCCTGTTGTACCCCACAGCAGATACCTCAGTCTCCATAACTGCGGAGTGTGACTGCTGCGTGGTGGCTCCAAGAACGGAAAGGGGTTCTGGGGCAGTACCGTGGTCGGCTGACGGCACGGTAGCACCATAGGGTTCCAGCGGGGTATAACGAGTCTGTGCAGCCAGGACTGTTCGTAACGAACGCATAGGAAAACTTTCCTCTTCACCATACGTTCGTGGATCACCCTCAGAATCCATTTCAGGTTGAGATTCTGCTGGTTCATTTTCATGAACTTGCAGACCACCATGAGCCATGGCCACTCGAGAATGTCCGCCGGCCAACGTTCCTTCGTTGCGGAAAAATCTGATACCGTGAACGATCAAACCAGTATGCCGTTGTCTCCAGTATCCGAGTCGCAGCGTGCCATATTTTGAGGGCCATTTCTCAAGGACTCGGATGACTTCTATTCTGGCCCGCGTAAGCTCAAGGCCAGTAAATGCGGGAAATATATTCGACCCTTGAACCAAAGAGAGCTGTGATGCAATGGAGCAAGGGCTCCATCGAAGACCAGTCTTGTGGCGCTTCAAGTATACAATTAGACACACTACCGAGGCAAACAGAACAAGGTAGATTGAAGCCACAAAAGCACCGGATACCACGGAAACAGTAACCTGCCATCCTTGGATATCTTCCACAGGTTGAAGGAAACTGGACTTGAAAGGGGCCAGAAGCGCATTCGCGGTGAGTGATATCGAAAGAGTGAAGGCCAAGTATTCCTTCCGATGAAACATATACAACAACCGGCCTGGTCCAGGAATGAATCCAGGAAGAGTGCTGAGCTCATCGGAAGTATGAAGAAGGTTGTGGCCTTCTGGCTGATGGTCCGTGCTCACATTGGCCATTTTGACATATGGCATGATGCGATAGTACTGCTGCACAATGGATCTGAATGCCAGGACCGTCACCGAGGCAATGACATTGGGAAGATAGATCCAGAGGTTATAGCTCGTTTGTGATTGGAAGCGGAGCCAACGCGGTTGTTTGCGCCCAACCACGACCAAACCAGTGACAGCAGCAAGGCAAAGGAAGAACCAAAGTGCAGCGACTGTCAAGAACCCCGTACCAAGGACAAAAGGTTTGAAATTTGGTTCCTCATAGCCATCAATTCCGTCAACATTAATGGGCGTGTATCGATCGTCCCCGGCATCCAGCGAAGAATGGGCGATGGAGGCGTCATCACTGGCTGCATATGTTTGTGCGACACGATCACGACCTCGATCCATACCTGGATGAGCAAGATTGGGTGTGGACTCGTGGTAGCTCATGGTGACTCGACTATTTCTGAGATCCGGTGTTGGAGTTCTGTGGTTCACGTGGTGTAGAATCTTAGCATCATCTGTTGTGGCATTTGTCGAGACAAGAGCCTGTAGATGATCAAGAAGACAGCATGATCAAAGACTGGTTGTTCGAGAAGTCGAACAAGTTACTAACAACCTTGAGGATATCCTAGAATGTTATTTGATGCTAGAGTCACAGAACTGAGAGCTCGAGAAGGCCTCTTTAAACGGCCAAGAGCTTCTTTTCTGCAGCCTTACTTCGTGTATGAGATGGCATGTTCGCCCACCAATTGACAGCTGCAAATGGATGTTGTTTCACAACGGACCAAAGGCTAGTTTATTCGCCTGCAGTAGTGGGAATTGGGGCCATCTTTGGCAACTTGATAAGGCTGAGTTGAAGAACAATGCTGTTCCCAGCCTCACTCCGTGTCGCAGGCCACTGGACTCCAAGAACGCTTCTGGAAACATAAAGCGACGATCCTTTCATTTCAGAAACCCCTCATCTTCAGGTGTGATAGTCTGTCCACCTCGTGCAGGGGGGTTGTGCTTTGGACAAAGCCGCAGCCTTAGTGTGTAGGAGTGAGCCTGTTGAGTTGCAGAAATCGATGAGTGTGCCGTCTAGGCTGAGAGGACCAGAGGTAGGCATGACAGTTAAGGCACCGAGTCGGGACTATGGCCCAATCATCAAGACCAGGTAAAGGCCAGTGTGATTGTAAGTTGCATTGTGCTGCAACCGAAGTGCATGAGTCCAATAAGGCACTGTGTGGCTGAACAGGGGTTGATTGATGTGTAACGGAGCGGTAAGGTATTCGGCAACTATGTGAGGGGGGGTTGCTTGCCAGGGCGCTAATGGCTCAACAGTGGTAACGGCACGTGATAGCACTCTTGGAATGACATAATCCAGGGTTAAGAGGTGTGACTAATGGGAGAGTAGAGTTGCCAAGGCAATGTAATGACGGTCACGCTACGGCCTCAGTCGCCTTTACGATTCTCGAGCCCCCATTGGGCCTGTAGTACATTATCCCTGGATCGAAACCTCAGCGCCATGGCTGTACCTGGTACAATGCCATTTCCTTCTTTTACAGATGCCACGCTATCTCTGAGCCGGCTATATGAGGTGTATCCATCGCTCTTAAACTCGCTGTCGGCCATTCCCAGTCCCGTGATAGTGATACATACAATCAGATCAACCTCTCTAATTGAAGAACCATCAGCAGTCTCGACTCCATGGACTTCTGCGCGACACGTTCCCGTCAAACAAACACACCGCGGACACCAAAGAGCCCCCATGACAACAAACTCCGTTCTTTAGCTGCAGTTGACGCCAAAGACCCCCCCTTGGCTGTCTCTCCGGGCCGTCTGCGAAAACGAGAGTCTGACCGACGAAGCCAGCGGCAGGCCCGCGAACGCACCAAGACCCACATCGCTCATCTGGAGGCCATAGTGGAAGAATTCCGACGAAGAGATGCCAGCGGTCAAGTCGCCGTGCTGATGAAGAAATTGACGGAGCTGGAGCGTGAAAGAGATGCCATGGTCAAGAACTTCCATGACATATGGAGCGTGGTGAAACCGTACTACTGCAAGTGGACAGCTGTTGATCTAGTACCGGACTGTGGTATTCGAGGAGGAGTAGTAGCGACGAGCGCGGCACAGGGAACTCAAGATGAGGGTTGTCGAGCAGCAACAGCAGACAGTGGTGACAGTCTTGTTGTCCAAGACACATATAGTTTTGATGACGGCACTACTACATCATTGCCGCCACCAATGAGTTCAGAGGAAGCCAGGGCCAATGTCGCCGAGAGTGAGGCTCTGCCCAATAGCCTGACTACTCCTCAGCTCCCTTCCAACACAATCAAAACCCCAGGGCCTGTTGTCTTTTTGGGACCCGAGCGTGTCAAAGTGTCTTCTCCTGCGCCGACCCTACGAGATTGTGGCGGCCGCGATCCTGTGAAAAAGGTCTATGTCAACTTCAGTCTTTCCAACTACGCCCCGGGCTGGGCCTATACCTCCCAACGATGCTCCTGTTGCCATGAGACGTGCACGCCGCTGTCACGAGGCAGGGAAGATGGCTCTATGTGGAGAGGCAACCAGTGGACATTTGCTAACGAAGTGCTCGGTGAGCGCCTGTCATGGGCAGAAGGGGAGATACAGCCCGCCACAGACATCGAGTCGGACGACGTGCCCATCCGCGCCCTGCTCGAGGGATGGTCCTCGGTGGCGCAGCGCGGGCGGTTGCATCCCTCGTGGCAGATCCTGCGACATATCGACGAGACCCTCTTTAGTATGTGTCCGAATGTCGAACGGCTAGCCATTCTCCGCGCGATGCACACCCTCCTCCAATTCCACACCGAACCGACACACGGGCGCTATACTCGTCTGCCGCCATGGTACAGCACGAGACGACAGTGGCAACAGACCCGGAGCTATGCGATCGACTATTTCGCATGGCCCTCCCTGCGCGATCGCTTCATCCAGAACGAGCACCGATACTGTGGCAACGAGTTCTGGTCCCTATTTTGCAGCAGCCTCAAGATCCTCTGGCCGTATCAATTCCGTGATTGCTATGTCCAGGAAGAAGCCACTGGGCTATACAAGGTCTCGCCGCTGTTTGACCAGAGGCTACTTGATATCAATTGCTGGACCATGGGGCCCGACATCTTTCACCGATTCCCAGAGTTGTCTAGCGACATACCGGCTTTCAGTCCAACGCCGCACAGTTTGTCACACCCCGCTTCTACGGGAGCAACAGGACTCGGAGCGAGGCAGGTGGGGGTGTCTGCTTTGGATACCACTGATACTTCTTCTCTGAGCGAGATCGCGCCGACAGGTCAAGCTGGTTGCGCCGACCTAAACCACAAGAAGGGCAACAAGTATCATGACAAACTTTCAACGACGATAACAGCTACCGTCTTCCCTAAGGATACTGCCGTGAATTACCCTCTAGAGATAACCCCGCCGGAAGCCTCACTTCAGAACTCCTTAGAAGGCCTATCATCAGCGTCCCATCAATACAATATCGGCGACTTGAGCCAAGCCATGGCGGTTGATGCGTTCATTAACGGCATTATCGACAAGGCGGATCTGGAGACCATCTGGCCCTCAGGTAACCTGTGTGGCTAATTTCATAAAGCACAAGATCAACGCAATTATGTGGCAGTTGAAAGGAGTCTCCGCCCCCTTTTTAAGGCTGCAAGGCTGAGTCACGTGGTATGTTCGCCGAATTCGACTGTCGCTTGACCTTCTCTTGAAAGAACCTCAGTATCTTGGCCCACTACTAGTACCGAGTACGGCGAGCGCATCTTGAAACTCCACTTGGGGGTTTCTTCGCCATGTTGAGAAACAGTCACAACAGTCCTCCTGATGAATAAAAATACACCTCCCAAACTCGGTCCAATAAATGCTAATGAAGAGCCTGTTGGAAATTCTTCGCGAGCAGTCAGTACTACGACGTTCAATCAGTGAAATCTACTTACATACCCTCTCGCAGCTTCCTCGATGTTGAGCACCTCGAAAAGTTTTACCGTTTCTGCGTCCAAGGCTCTTCTCAAACCTTTGGTCATATTTCCCCTCTACTTAGACAGAAGATAATCTGGAATCCAGACCACTGGGAGATTTGCGACATTGAGCGCACCTTGACGCTCCGTGGCACTTCATGCGAGACTCGAAATGCCATCATCCTCACCACCCTAGCTCTCCCAGAGAATATGGTAGTTCTCGGAATAAACTCTTTGAGCGAGGACACTTTCGCTGTTTACAACCACGATAAACATGTCGTGATGCAGATCCCGCGAAACGCAGCCCCCTTGTTCGGGGTTTTATGCTATGGAGTACAACTCGTGGCGTATGAGCTTTGCCCGAGTGCGACGACCACCCTCTTGACTCCAGACTCGAGGGTATGGGTCTCCCGTCGCTCCATATTGAAGAACTACTGCCCCGGGCTTCTGGACGTTACTGCGAGCGGTGCTCTCGAAGCGGGCGAGTCTCCGCTCGACGGCATCTTACGTGAGTCCCTAGAAGAGGCGTCTCTGTCAGATACAGTGTTGCACGGCCGGCTCTACCCTTCCGGCGTCCTCAGCTACGTGGGGAGGGGCGGGGGAGAGTATGGCGAAGGCCATGTGTTCGCCCTACCCGAGATCGACTTTTGCTACCACGTCGGCCTCGCTCCAGGAGTGGCCCCAGTCCCGATGGACGGTGAGGTCAAATACTTTGCACTCTTGACTGTCTCGGAGATCTTAGGCCGACTACGACGGAGTGAGTTCACGCCGTCGGCCACGTGCGTCCTCCTCGACTTCTTCATCAAGCGCGGCATTCTCTGCTTTGAGAACGAGCCCGACTATATCGAGATTGTCACGAGGCTGCATAGAGGGTTACACTATCCCACGTTATAAAACATTTCTCTACTTATCTCCGGTTGGGCTGAAAAACCCTGCACACATGGCCGTTTTCCTCGTGACAATGGGGAAGAGAAGAGTACATAAAGGTGCTATCTAGGAGAGGCTGTATATTGCCCTGCTCAACTATGCCGCTCTGCTTCTCATGCTCCGCAGTTTCCTCACAATTTCAACGCTCTGGGCTAGCTACAGTAGTCTTGCATGCAGAGGGATTGCGTATAATACATGGACCTCCGCTCGGAGTCAGAGCAGGTACTCAGAAGGCGCAGAAGGTATTGTTTCGACCCCTGTAAAAGGGATCTGGTAGGTATCACCTGGGATTCCATCCCTATCTATTCCTCAAATTCAAAACTCAATCTAGAGATAAAGCCCGGTTTCGTCCCAACACTGCAAGTCGTGAAAATCATCTCGTGGGTATCATTAAAGGAGAAAAAAAAAGGTGCAGAAACATAAGGCCGTGTCGAGTTTCCCATCCAGTACAATGCAATAGCAGTCCATGCTGCCCGTATGGCAAGTCACATAACCAAACCATTCCCATGTCTGAAAATAGCCACCTCAGGCTGTGCTCAAATAATGCACCCAGATAAGAGCTCCTGTCCATATCCGAATTTAAGCCGTCTAGGCATGTTCATGGATGAAGGTGCCCCAAAATGCATCTTCTGTGGTCTCACGTTCTGATTTTGTCGGCCGGGAGCCACTTTCTTTGCCGATCTCACCCCCCTCTCCATCGCTCAATATTTCTGCATTGGCCAAAGACCTTCCTTTGCCCTTGTCCTTCTCCCTGGCCTTCTCTTCCGAGCTGTCCTCTCGTTTCCGCTTCTTCACCATCAACTTCAGTTCTAGTGGAATCAAACCTCTGCCAGTTCCCGCGGTATCTTTCATATCCAGAGTTTTGCGGCACACAGGACACACGCCTCTGGTCTTACGAGATGTCGGCGCATTTTCTCTTCGTGATTGAATAGACCACTTCAGAGTATCAAGTATGCACCGGTGGCAAAAGACGTGTCCGCAGGCCGTAGAAGTTGCATCGGTGGGTGTATCCATGCACACAGGGCACTTGTACGCGGTGAGTGCAGTACGGCCGCTTTCTGTTCCAGGGTTCTGAGCCAAGATGGTGTCTTGTCTCTGTTTGGCAAGAGCGGCGGATAGGGTGTCAGCGTCGGTAACGGTTGTCAAGTCCACAGATTCGATCAAGGGATCCTCCGTCTCACCACCTGGCGTAGATGGCTGCTGATGCTGAGAAGATCGAGTGGCAGTGCTTCTCAGAGATGAGGAAGGAGGGGACATGGTCACCTGTGGAAGATCTCGGCTTTGGCTTTGTTCCTGCTCCGTACGCCGACGGTGACTGCTTCTAGCTTGGGTGCGCACCCAGTTCTGGTGGTTTTCTCGCTGACGATTTATTGCCTCCTCTTCCAAGACTGACGGTAGCCTTCCGTCGACAAATGGGTGATTTGGGTCCAGACGATTTAAATAAACTCCAGGATTGGCTGGCCAAATTCCCAAGGGTGCAGGGATAATAGGGAGATTGTACTCGAACTCGCTCAGGTTGCTGATGGGCGTGTATCGATAGGCAACGGGAGGATCGTGAGGATGTGTGGTCAGGGGGGTGTACTGGCTTGCTATTAAAGGTGCACCGTCTGATCTTCGTAGAGAGGTGTCGGCCTGCGCCGTCGAGTCCGGTAGTTGAACAGGCACCTCACTGTCTGTCTGTATTATTCTGGCTTCTTGGAAGGCTTCTTGCGCGGTTTGGATGGCGCGATTCGCGTTTTCGAGGGCGCGATTAAGATTCACGTCGTAGAAAGTGTCTTGGTGACTTGGTACAGGACGAGGGAGAGTAGCTTGCCTGCGTGAGGCACTATCTGGCATAGCATTGAAGAAGTCGCGGAAGAGCCTGGGCGAAGATCGACGTATAGGCTGTGGGGGGAATTGTCGAGAATGATCGTGTGGTGAATTGCGGACTGGCTGTGGTAGTGGGAGAAGTCTGGGCTGGAGAGAAAAGAAGGTGGGAGGATATGAAGAGCCAGAGCTCATGGTTAAACCCAGAAATAAATGGCTCGAACAAGTCTTTAATACACTCACAGGTCTGGGGATGTGACCCACAGGACAGATGATGAAGAAATGGTTAATTGATGGCGCAGTTCCAGAGTGGCAAGTCTTTGTCCATCCATCCTGTAATAACATCGCAGCGAATTGTGCCGCGGTTGGTCCTGCCGCTTTATGGAGCGACTTACATAACTACGAAGGTAATGCAGCCTCGTCGGACCCCAGACAAGGCTCGCGCATAATAATCTATGATTTATCTCGTTTCATTGCCTCCTACAGCGCCAGGAATCACAAGACCCGGGTTGAGGATTGTTCACAAGTTCATCCTGTGACAAATAATTCCGCACTATCTCAAACATACCTTGAGATTGATTCCACAAGGCTGGTAATAGACCCAATATCAGAGACAAAGGGCAGCGCGAGTAAAACAGGTGTAGGGGCTGACTTGTAAGAGGCGAATGTCGAGACTGGTGGTCACTGATCCCCAGGGACTCATCAGGAACGCGCTTCATGCTGGTAACTCCAGCGCCAAGGTAGAATTAGGTGTTTGCATTCATTGCGCGTGCTAGCCCCCCACCCCCCCCCCCCTTTTAGTCCCCGGCGTGTCCCCGTACACACACCCCACACATCCGACACCCATCCGACCGCCCAC